TTTGATGTACAGCAAAGTGTAGACCACCAAGAAGTTGCTTTGTTGGCCTTGTTGGAGTTTTTTTCCAGTTTATCTTTTGCTGTTGTCATAGCTTACTTTAATATTCCAGGTTACGCACATTTTGGGCCTAACACGATAGTTAGGAGACTTGTATTTAAAAAGACAGCGAGTATATAACATGGTTTGTAAATAAATACACTACTATATTTTGCTGCGGAGGTTAGCGGTTAAGTGCCACTTTTTATTGCAAGAACACATGATCAGCTCATGACAACATGTCATGTGATCAGCTAATAAGGTCATGGTCATGACACGTGATTATGTAACCCTAACTCTATGAATAAAAGTAGAAGTAATGCATAGCTAAGTCAAAGATACAACACACACACTTTTTGTCCTATGCTGATATATGGGCACTAGAACATTATTTCACATGAAAACTTGTTTACGTCCAGTTACAACTCACCCAGGTTTGTGAAACTCTATGGATTAACCTCAAAAGAAAATTTGGCTGACTGTATATGATATGGATTACCCGGTACTTTCCTGATACAATGAGCGATATTTTGCTCACCACTTATTAAACCTCCAGTGATATCACTATACCCCAATATCCCTCCCCCTATATCCCTCCCCCAATACATTAACACCACAACATTTTTTTTGCTGTGAAATTTTCTTTTTCTCATATTCACAGTATTTTGGCGAAGAATTTTCCAAACGTGTGACACTCACCTTTACAGGTACTAGCCAAAAACAAATATATTGTTGCTATAAAACATTCTATATGGCAAAATTATCAAGTTTCAATATCACTCATAAGTGACTGTCTTGCCACAAATTAGTTTACAACATTTAGTATTTTTAAAGGACCTAAGAACCGATAAAAAAAGAGCATTCTTTAATTTGAACAGAAACTATTGTATAGTCTGCATGAATTGTTGACTTAATTGAAGATAAAAAACATTTCCAAAAATGTATGCCCTCACATGAAAATACACATTCATAAGATTTATACAGAAATATTTCAAATTATTTGCAGCCATTAGGAATTAGATTAGGGTTTAGGATGTGTTTACATGTTTGGAGATTATGAAAATAATAAACATTTTTCATTTAGCATTTCATATTGACAGATTCCAAATATGTGACAGAACAGTAGTGCTTCATACCCCTAACAAAGTTTCTAAATAAGGCAAAACAGAAATCAAGTATATGAAAGCTATCACCTCTATATTGGGAGAATCCTGTAATTAGCATTAATTTTTTTTCCTATTAAGCTTTTAACATCTTTTAATTTTAATTTTATCTTATCATAATTTAATTACTGTAATTTTTATGTTTTGTATCTCATTTTATTCACCATACTGCACCCTCTGATGGCATAGTAGTGTAATAAAGTTGTTATTATTATTACTATTTTTATGTAAGGTTTGTGTAACAAACAAATTATATGTTGTTAATAATAATCATATAAATAAACCAATCTTGTATTACATTACACTACACTACTGGCATTGCACATCTACAATACCGAGTATATTATACCTGTACTTCTTTTAAGGGTTGATTATTTCAAATCATGGGGGTGGATGGAAGATTTCTTGTCACAAAATTTGCAAGTTGAATGCTGAGAAAAAAATAGCAGGCCTGGTGTTGCCGGAACAAAATATTGTCTCATTCAAAAAAAATGAAAACGTACACACAAGTCACCACGAAAAAAAAATGCACTGGTCAGCCTCTAAGTCCCCCCCCCCATGATTTCAAATGTTTGATCCCTTAGTGGTCTGAAACTACTGCGTACTGGTATACCACAGTCAACGCTTCAATATACTAGCATACGAGATAGTACGATACATACCGGTATATACTTACTGTACTCACAGATGTCAATGTAGTGAATGCGACCACCTACTATGTACCAGCAACAATAGCCCTCGATGGAAGCACTCACGACCGCTAACGTTCGTGGAAGCTTGAACTCTCACTGACTGACTTCAATGGCCTGGTCATAAGAATCTGACGCAATATGTGAAATTTTGGCAATTGGCATGAATTTATCAAAAAACTGATTGTACAAATCCACGTGAAACTGTGTATACGCATTCGCCACAGATCGCAACATGACTTAGATTACGTTGATTTTCGCGTATCCAGCACTCGACTCACCCCGACCTTCAGAAGCACTTTCGGAACATGGCCTTCAAGTTAAAGGTCAACTGTAGCCCGCCCTCATACATCCGGTCTACAAGGGCTGGGAAGATGATAATGACAACACATTGGATCAAAATAAATAAAAATGAATAAATCTAATCCAAATTCGGCAGTAAATGAGGCCTACAAACTAGGAATACATCTTGACAAAAATGATAAAGATAACTGGGCAACAGACATAAAATAAAATTTTCCCAAATTTATGGAAAAACAAATTTCAGAACGACCAAACCCTTCTGACAGTACACGTAAACTAGTGATGATAATAAAGGTTGAAACCTTAAAAATAAGTTGCGATCTACAGGAAAATAAAAACAGGATTTGCATATGAAAAATAACTGACTAAACAACAACCATAGAGTTGTTACGGCGAAAATCAGAATAAGTGTTCATTTCTTTTGAATTGAACAGACAGATATAATAACATAAATGTTGAAGATAAAATGTGCTCAGTTTTGACAAACAGAAATGTCAGAATGAGGCAAGACAACATCCTAGAATGTCAGCTGTCTCAGCCATCTACCACATCAAATCAAATATAATAAAATATTTTTTCTGTCGTTCAGTTTTTCGTTTTCATTGTTTTTTAACTGAGATTTAATTGTACTGTTTACAAAGTCTCACAATTCAATAAAAAATATTTGCCTATACAATTGAAAGCTGTCTTAGACAACTGTATTAGACACTACCCATATATAAATATTGCGCTCAAAGTCATACAAAAGGGATTGAACTTTGCTGCTTTCCGTACATTAAAGAAACCGTCTGTATAATACACTATGATTACAAATGCGGGTCAGACTGGGAGTAAGCTGGACGGCATCGTTCAATCATCAACGTTAATCCAAAATATTTGTATCTTGCATAATTTCCAACCGGATGTGATATTTTGCAGGCTGCGAGTTTTGGGCTGTGGGCTTCAAGGTTTTACTGAAAATATAATAAAAACAAATAATTAGGCTATTCGGCACCACGGAACATACGCAAACGTAAAAGTAATTAGTCCCAAATAAAATTACCATATTACACATATTAATTATTTTGCTTTCCAACAGCATGAACTGTAACCTGAGATGGCATTAACTTGAAGGTGTGTCTTCACGTGTGTTTATGCATGGAAGCACGGTTACTAGTAACCGTGATGGAAGGTACTAACCGTTAGTACTTTCCATGGTTTATGTCAAACTTGAAGGTGTGTCTTCACGTGTGTTTATGCATGGAAAGTAGTAACCGATAGTACTTTCCATGGTTCAAAATTTCAAATGACTACCTACTTATTACATAAGTAGGTGTATCAACGCAAATCTTAAATATAGTCACCCTACATATACATTAGAATTAGTATTGTAGTGCCACAATATGCGGTGTTTACTGAAAACATGGGCAATGATAATGTACACTCATGGAGGTACGTAAAAGACAGAGTCTCCACAATAGTTATTTGAGGCTGACCCAAACGTTAATCTTCATTAAGGCCTTCAACATAAAACTTATACATTACATTACATACATTACGGGGTTTAGTAACCGTGATTACATCATATCAACAGAGGCAATTAAACAAGTAAGCAAACATACTGGCAATCGATTTAATTCAGTAATTTCAACAATTTACTTTTGAATAGCCTGACTGTTACAGTAGATTCTGATCTAATGTTCTGTGAAAAATCAACCCATAATACAGGATCAGTAAATGTTAAACTATTCTGACGTAGAAAGGTTTTGAATTTAGGTTTATACAAATTATTATTTAATAGCAAGAGAATCAGTGTCCTTGAATTGCGTTTCAATGATCTACCTGTAACCTCGATTGCGGTAAGTGGGCTAGAGGGAGTAATGTAAAAGAACAGTTTATTCCTCTCAGATGGCCCGATTAATATTCCTCTATAGGGAGGGGCAAGGGGGTAGCTGGTACAGGTTAAAGGAAATAAAAGCGGCATTTTACGTTTTTACAGGAAATAAAATGAAAGTAACATTTACAGTAAAAATATGGGTTTTTACACTTACAGATAAAACAAATTCCTAATTACATTTTACGTCTTAGTAATGTTTTTGATAATTTGAGTTTGAGAATCGAAATTGGAAATTACATTTAATTTGAAAAATGCTTTACACGTTTACAAAAATTAATATCTTTGTACAAATTACGAATAAAATAGCTGATTACATTTTATACCTTGCCCATGTCTATGAATTTACGTTTTTTTATTTATTTAATTTACATTATTACGAAAATAAAAACAATTAATTACACTTACGAAAATACTCCTTGCCAACCCTCTCTATAAAACATAGAAAATGTGTTATGTAATGTTTATCTACAATTCATTCCACTCCCATACAAGGAACGTCCGTATTAACAATTAGTCGAAATCAATTTAGGGAAAAACAAATTAGACAGTTATGGCGCCGCATCGAAATAAGTCATGCGAAAATAAAGAAACAGACACGTTCCCAACAACAACAACAACGTCTTTGGAATAGCGACCTAAACCTGAAATTGTGAGAACAAAATTTAACAATCTGAATTCAGCTCTGAATTAAATCACATACCCTTTAGGGGGTTATTTTCGTTCAACGTGAATTGAAAAAATAAACTCCGTAATTCTGTATCACAAGGCT